CATTTGTGACAACATGGATGGGCCTGAAAAGCATTATGCTAAGTGGAAAAACTCAGAGAAAGACAAATACTATATATCGTCACTTCTGTGGATGAAATATAAAATAACCAACCTTGCAGAAGCAGAGAGTAAAATGATTTTTTTCAGGGGATGTGGGTTAGGGAAATAGGGAAATGCTGGTCAAAGAGTGCAGTTAGAAGATGAATAATATCTGTAGATCTAATGCACAACATGACTATAGTTCATAGTGCTGTGTTTGGACGTTGCTAAGAGGGTAGCTCTTAAATATTTTCACTAAAAGAAATGTAATTATGTCAGCAAATGGAAGTGACCTTAAGACTATGGTGGTGATCATGTTGCAATATACTAGGGCATCAACTCAATACTATTGTACATGTTACGTGTACAACTGTATATATATATATATATACACACACACACACACATACACACACACTAATATATATATATAAACATATATATATATATATATAACTTACACAATGTTATATGTCAGTTATCTCAGAATAATGTTGGAAAAAGTAAAATATATATCTTCTTATATCACCATTTTATTTTCTCCTCAAAAAGCAAGCGAAGGTATGTAACTAGACATCAATGTCTGATTAAATGAAGCAAAATTTTGTTCATATGGATCTATATGAACAATATTTTTAACATCACTGGAGCTTTATCACCTTTCATGAATCTTCCTCATCAGAGAGGATTGTAGGTCCAGGAATGTAAGATATTTTCAAATTCAGTGAATTATTGACTGCCTGTATTTTTCTATTTTGGTTCTTTTGTTCCTGTAATATGACATTCACTAATTTAAAGCCCATATACGTGGGTTGAGGGTTTCACAAAAAAAAAAAAAAGTACCACTGATTAAGTGGGGACTAAAGTTATGATTTTATGCATTTTTATTAAAAGTAAAACATTCCTCTTATGTTTATTTTTTCTGTTATTTAAGTACATATGTATGAGATATGAATTTTACAAATCAGTTCAGTACTTAGTCATTCTTTAGGGAATCAAAATTAAGCTTTCATTGATGATCCTATTCTATGTTTTGTTTACTTTAAGTATGATGTAATTATATTGACCACGGTTCATATTTTAGACAATATTCCACTGAAACCAACTTCAATTTAATTGATCAATTGATGAAACAGTTATTGAGGCAATATCTCTCAAGGAAATGTGTGGGAATGTGTGTGCATTTGTCTATATTTATGCATTATTCCATTACATGTGAAAACAAAGAAGCTGGCACTTTTCATAGGTTTATCTAAAAATATTTGTGTATTATATAAAAAAATTACATTTTCTAAAATTTCATAGGACAGATAATTTCCTGTATAGTCCCTTGACTTCCTGTGCCAATAAGACAACTGAGCAAGAGATTCCTGTTTCCATGTAATAATGCATTTTTGTACATCACTAAATAGACAACATTTTGTTTTAAAAATGCTTCTGAAAAAAGTAAAAGTACTGTTTAAATTCTAATTAACATTGAATGAAGATTTGCTCTCCAAATAATACTTTAATTTATAAAGCAAGAGACCAACTTGCATGTAATACCTGTGTGAATGTGTTCCTTGAAGGATCACTGAATCAATCAGTGTCCTCTGCAAGCATATCTGGTATAAATTATCTCTCCTTTAACAAACTTACTATTTAATAGTATTTCACAGGAAAAGTGGGAAACATATGAACTGATTAATTTTCAACCAAAAACAATCCATAGTTATACAAATACATACATAATACATCTTTGAAAAGGAGAGAAATCTGATTTTAAAGATTGTTAATAACACTAAATTCTGGGGATCTAATGCACAGCAAAATGATTACAATCAATAATATCATATTATGAACTTCAAAACCACTGAAATACTAGATCTTAACTGTTCTCACCACAAAAAAGAAATAATAATTATGTGATCTGCTAGCGTTGCTAGCCAACACTATAGTGGTAACCATATTACCGTACTACTATAAAAATGCATTAAATTAAATCAACCTTAAACTTGCAAAATGCTACATGTCAATTATATCTCAATATTAAAAATAAATAAACCAAAGTTTTTTTTTTTTTTTGCTTTCTAGCAATACATACATACATACAAGATTTGTAAATGGGGAGGAAAAAAACAAACATCAATGAATTCTGTGCTTAATGACCAATGAAAGTTTTTAGGAAACAATTTAGAAGGCTTTCTTCAAAGTAAATCTCATAAAATTTGATTTTTTCCTCAATTTTATCATAATCTTTAAATATGTTGCTTTTTTGCAGGAATAATACAATAGGTATGATCACAACATAGGGGAAAACTAGTTATAAAAAGACTCTTAATGTTAACATGTATGGTAGCCTCGAAGGCACAATATGTTATAAAACACCAGATTTATGTAAATTCAGTCTTATGCAAATTATTCTATAAGGCACACTCTACAAATTTCAAGTTATAGACATTAATATTCTCTGTTTTAAATATTATAAGTTTATTGTGGGATTAAGGAGAGGAAATGGAAAGAGAGAACAGGAGTCCTCACAATCTACTTGGTAAAAGGAAGACACATGACACCAATCTATTATCCCTTACCCCATAAAAGAGAAATACCATTTGCATTTCCTAGAAGAAGGATTTTCATCTTGCCCTGTGACTTGGTTACCTAAAATTCTAAGGACGGTGATGAGATGGTCACTTCAGACTAGGTAACCAAGAACATTGTGAGGGCAACATTGAGACAGTATGAGGGTTTTCTACTTATACAAAATGACAAAAGATAGAAAATAACAAGATCACTCTTTCTTCCCTGTCATATTTTCTATCCACCCTTCTTCTCTACCTCATGTCTGTGTCATATAAAAGCAGTCCTCACTTCAGAGTTGAGGCTGAATGTAATAGGTTATAAAGACATAGATGCTAAATTGTAAAGGAACTTAGAAGAAGTCAATTTCATTTGGATAATTACTCCAGTATTAATCAACTTTTAAAATTCTCTTCTTCACTTTGCAACAATACCATTATGGTATAAAACTTCATTTCTTTATTTTACCTGCCCTTTGAATTTAGAAAGTTCTAGAAATCTTGCTTTTCCTTTATCACCATACTTTGCAAAACTCATTATTTTTACTACCATTGTCATTCCCTCACCAAATATTTTTACTTTCCCTTTGGCTATAATTTGGTTTGTATATCTACATGCTGACATATAATTTGGTTTGTATATCTACATGCTGACATGCGTGTCCAGTCAATTTAAGACTTTGGGTTTCTGGCCTCCCTGGTGGCTCAAGGGGTTAAATGCAACCTATGAAGCTGTCTGCAGCCAGTGTAGCACGTTTGACTCCTGGCCAGGGAGCTACCCATATGGTACAGGAGACTTCTCCTGACTTGCCCGCTGCTCCCCTCAGCTGTGAATTTCAGTCAATCCGCCTGTTCTGTTCCCCACTCTAACCCTCCACACCTCTCACCCTCCAGTACCTCAGTTCTTGTATGCATAAATAAATAAATCTTTTTTTAAAAAAAAAAGTAGTTTGGGTTTTTAAAACCTCAACCAATATCAAATCAATCTCTGACCCTGCATCCAAATGACAAAAGGTAGAATAATAAAGTGATTTACTCCCATTGGCTAGTGCCCTAGTAAAATTTTTATGGATATTAGTGTCTGAATTTCTTTAAATGTTGCATATTTATCACGAACCCATATAATTATCTTTATTTTTTAAGACTATTTCAACATATTTTCAAGATCCGCAGTTTCACAGGCTGCATTTCCACCTGTGTTCAAGAAATTCAGTTTATTTGAAAACATGACATATCAACATACATTCCTATCTACCATTATTTTGAACAATTTCATATTTCAATATACATGTTTCATGCATTCAGCAAATTTTTCTGAAGGACTAAAACAAACCAAAAATGATCAGATAAATGAATGGAAACTAAAAACTGTTAGTATTTATGATGTTATTACAATCCCATTTTTACTGACATGTTTCAGCTAATCAAAAGTAAAACCAAACACATGACTCATCAAATAACTGTTGACCACCAATAAAAAAACCAAATAGGCATGTTTAATTATGTGAGAAATATCAAAGCCAAAATACATACTAACATACACAAATACCATATATAATGAATAACAAAGGCAATTTGGTCCAAAATATGAAATATAAAATTGTTTGTGTCTCCCTGGTGGCTCAAGGGGTTAAATCTCAGCACTATGAAGCTATCTACAACTACTGCAAGCACAAGTTCTATCCCCAGCCAGGGAGCTAACCCACATGCACAGTAGACCTCCCCTGTCTAGCTTACTGCTCCTCTAAGCAGTGTCTTTCTGTTGCTCCACCTGTTCTGTTTCCCACTCTGTCTCTGGTGAATCCTCTCACTCCCCACACCTCTGGCCTGTACCCCAGTTCTTGGATATGTAAATAAATCAATCTTTAAAATAAATAAATAAATAGATAGATAGATAGAAAATTGTTAAATTATCTTCTTAGCATCTGCTAAATCATTGTAATAAAAAGTAATGTTAACTTATATTACATTATTGTATAATAATCATATTTATGAATAAGTAAATTACTATTATTCATTAACTCTAAAATATTAGTAAATGAACTAATTGCTTTATTAATATAAAGAAATAGTGAATGCATTGGTAAATTTAAGGAATGTTAAACTACTGAATTTGAAGAAAAATTATTTTCCCATGTGCTAATCTGCCATTTGGTCAAAACAAAGTAACAAAGCAGATATGAATCTTACTGTACAGGGATCACCATCTTTTTCAATGGCACACTAATTTAAATTTCATATTATAAATGTAGATTCTACATATAAAATATATCTCATAATATCTGTTTGAGCTTTTAATAGTCCTTAATATTGGTATTACATTTAAATGTCTCTTTCAGTTTTCTTTTCCTAAGTAAAATATCCTTGAAGACATTACAATCAATAAGAACATAGAAAGCTTACCTTATTACAAAATTGTGACTGTCAATCTCCTTTCCACATTCACTATCTAGCAGAATGCCAGAATTTCCAACAACTGCACAGGTCTTAAATCTGCGATTTTTCATTGGTGAAACTTCAGGAAGGAGACTATGCAGATCTTGAGAAATATTTAGTGTCCGACGCCTGTCGAGCACATAGTGTATGACATCACCAGGCTTAAAACTGCTCTTGACCACTGAGACATCTCGTTCCGCATCTAAGAAACGAAGAATGTTCTTCCTATATTTGAAATACAAGGAAAGTTTTTCATTAATTACAACATAATCTAAGAACAGATGATATTTACAAAAGAGCATATGTAAAATGTAAATAGGCACATTATTTAAATGTCTTAAATTGACAAGTGATAGTTAAATCAACAAGTTCTAGAACAGAATAAATGTAAACGTACTTTACCTCAATAAAAAGTAATGTGAAAAAAATTAAATGAAGTTATCTCCACATAGTTTCTCTATGATTTTCCAACTAAATTTAGAATATATATGTTTATACAGAAAAAGTATCAAAACAAATAGAAAAAATAGTTTATTAATTAAAGTACTATTGCTATGACATGGCTTTACAGAAGTAGATATTCTGATTGTTTTAATCAATATTTGTACAATCATCTATTTTACTTAATTTTGCTTTATATAAGGCAACTTCAAATAACCCAATTTGTTTTTAATTAAAACTTAGTTAACTCTATTTAAAGCATAGAAACACCCAAATAAATTCATATGCATTTATCTAAATCCTGTGCATGTTTTAATTATTTGAAAAATAGTTAAATCTTAAGAACTTCCTACTTCAAGGCCCAGGAATGGGTATATTATGGGAAAAGATGACAGATAAGACACTGCACACTGTGTGACATAGGAAATTGCTTCTTAGTGTTCTCTTTTCTTCCTTTTAAAATTGTGCCTGCTAAGTTTTTCTTGCACATATGAGTAGTCGGTTAGAATATTTCCAAGTTTTCAAACCCAAGTATAGCTGGTATTGGATATGTAATTTTCTTAAATGGGGTATGAGTGGGTCATGAGAAAAGCAAACTTCCAACTTCTTTGATCCACTATATTTTAAGGCATCTTTTAAATAGACACTTAGCCTACCCCATACCTAGTAAAAAATTGATTATGAAAGTAAGATGCTACATAAATATAAAATGTAAACATAGGCTTAGTATTTAGATGATGACAGTGAGAAAATAGCTAACTGGAAAACTGGCAATCTTTGGCATGGCATAACAGAACACCAGATTAAACTGTTGTCTGTGAAAATTTGGGAGTCATGCCCTATATCTACTATCTATTGCTCTTTAAGATTTAGCTAAGAAGCATGTGCATATTGTTTTATGTTGGCTGCTTCTTTTAGCAAAACCCTAAAATGAGGTAAAGTCAGTCATGAAATTAGCCAAGTCAAAACTGAGATGGAGGACAACATCTCCACCAGGCTTGTAATCCGAATTAGGAGACAGACTAATAGCTGTGACCTCCCAAATGTTCTGAATATTCCAACTAGAAAGACATCAACTATAAATCCCAGCAGCAAGAGGGATACTGTCTTCCCACCTATGTCTGCGGTTTTAAATGACTTACTTATAGTTACCATAAAATTGAGGCAAAAAAAGGCACAGAGTCAGAAGGCTAAAGACACATATTAGAAGAAATCTTTGGGCAGTTATTTATTCCAGGACATAACTGGTATAACTGATGTAACTAGGAAATAGCCCAGCAGTCAAGTGAGTTTTTGAAGGAATTGCAAAACCGAAGAAACTATAAATCTTACAAAAGTCTTGAATTGCTGGATCCTAATGCTACCAAATATATACCAGTTAGAAACAATCTGAGAACTCTCTACACTACGTTCAAAGTTGGATATTATTTACTGATACAGTCTTATTGCAAGCTTGTATTTTCCGATTGCTAAAAATACTGCCATTATAATAACATTCATACTATGACAGATGTATTTTTCCACCAGTGGTATTATTGCTTAAGCTCCATGACAATTCATAAATTTCATTACTGAACACAAAATATCACCTCCTTTCATCACCTTGCCAAAAGGGTAATTCTACAAATTACACATATAAACCAGAAGCATTACTAGCAAGGAGGGTTGAAAAATAACTAACATATATTTCCTTTTGTTTTTATTTTAGTTTGCTTTAAATATGTCCCAGTTTGATGTGTGATGTAATGAGAAAACCAAGTGATTGAAAACTACATTTGGCCAGATATGTCCATCAGCTCTCTGAAAATGAAAATATTTTTTGAGTTTTTTCCTCAAATATTTGCAATATCAGATTCATAATGAAGAGTGGGATTTGCACAATAAATAACATATAAGAACCCTACAAATGAATATTTTAAATCAATAGAAATGCTATCAGATATCATCATATAGTTCATCTTAAGAATGTACAGATGATATAAGAATATCTGATAAATCAGTAACCATAGAGTCTATGAAATGCAGAAAATTGAGCAGCTCTTTATTATATTAAGGTAGCACATGTGATTCTTGACAAATGTTAAAAACTCTCATGAAAGTTAACCATAATACCAAGAACAACAATCCATTTAATTTTAGTATATACGTATTAACTATCATTTACTTGTCTAAAGAGAAAAAGCAACGAACCACACCTGTGTTTGAACCAGAAAAATTCATTTCCTGTGACAACGGTAAACTGGCGCTAAAAGACTGCACGGATGTGGTCAAATCACCACACGAAAAGGTATTATCATTTTCCTTTGAACATAATTTAAAGGCGTTGCTATAGATATCTGAAGTTGTAACTCATAAGTAGTGCCATGCTTGCAAGCTTGGAGTGAATAGATTAGATGTCCAGATTTGAAAGCACACTCTTCTGCTAGGAAATCCAAAAGGGAAAATCCCTTTGCTCATGAAAAAAAATTAACACTTAATGCACGTCTATTGAGCACAGGCGGGACTTTCCAATAATAGCATCTTTATAGTGTTATAGAAAGTTGTCTGCAAAAAGTTTAAAATCTGAAGTCTTCTAAATTCCTGAATGTAATGGGACATCTTTAACTTACTTTTTTTTAAGGAAAATTGATAATAAAAACTAGAGTCTATCAGGTTTGCAAAGTTTGGAAAGACATCATATGGTTTAACTCTTAATGTTTAATTAGATAATTATTGAAAATAGATGATGCTATTATATGCATTCTTTCAATGCTGCTATAGGCTCAACAGAATCTACTCAACAACAAAAATAGGAAAAATGCTTTCCAAGACAAAATAAAAACTACTAATTCATATCATATTCATTCATTCATTCATCCATTCAATACTAATTCACAGGAACTAATCAAAATATAAAAATGTAAGTTCCTTAGGCAAAACTCAGCACAAGTATTATAAAAAATTCGTTTTTATAAAATGAAAGGGGGTGCAGTGTGGAAAACTTGAGTGTCTCCCGTATGTTCTTTTTCTTATAATCAACCAAACTTTTTGTTTCTATTTTAGGACTTAAATCTATGCATGGAGAATTATCTAAGCTAAGATTCCTGGTGTAGGATGAGAGAAAGACTGACAATTACAATGAGTGAATAATATTATGACAAACCTTAATATTTTTTGGAAACTTTAAGGGGAGAAATCAGTTTTTTCCCCCTAGCAGCTGAAAGCTTTATTTATTTATTTTCAGATTATGGATGTAATGGACTATAAAATGTTCTATAAGGTCATTCAGTCTAGATGTTGTTTAGATTGTACATTGAAGGGAAAAGAAAAAAACCCTAATGTTTAAATATATTTAAATATTTCTAGAAGCAGAAAATACTATTGTACTTACAGTAAACTGAAACAGTATTTTAAATATAACCAAGTTGAATGTACATGCTTTTTTTGCTCTGAAGATAATTGCTATGAATGACAACAGGTGAATAAAAATGACTTCAGAATGAGAAAGAACGAAAATTCGGTTTAACTTCTGGACTGTAAAGGAGCATGAATCCACTAAAGCTAGTATTTAATATTATGCAGGTGTTACCAATACAAGTTTTCCTACTCTGTGGTCAAATTATTACCAGATCTTTAAAGAAAGGGGTATGTGACTTAGTAGAATAATGACCTTTTTACATCTTTGTCATTTTATGAACATAAAATAAATTGTGAAACCCCATTCAGATAAACAACTAAATTCAGCAACCTTTTAAAGATACATGAAACAATCTGAAAATGTTTCACTTTCAATGAGACTAAAATTTTAGTCATCAGACCCATTCTTGGCTTAAACTGAAAGATTGGTTTAGACTGTTAAACTGACAGGAATAGATTCCTGTCAGTACAGAAGTACAGAAACTTTTCAACTGAAGTCTCAATAAGAACTTCCCTTTCAACAGCACTCTTCACTTGGAATAGCAGCTGCAGAGTCCCAGATAATTAATTTACTAAACATTGTTTTCAATTGTGAAATAAAGCTAACCTATCACCAGGTGCCCTTCTTTCTTCTCTGTAGGTTTCTTGTCAATAACCAGCTAAGTGCTGTGGCAACTAAATATTAATCTAAATAACACTGCTGACTCCAACAGAAAGAATCCTTAGACTAATCTTATGATTAAAATTCATAATAAGCTGATAAGCAAATGAGGTTGTATGTGTGTGAGGGTGTGTGTATAATGTACATGTGTATGTATCAGGAATCCATTTTTGAACTTTCAACTCCAGACAAAAATAATTTATAAGGGGCCTCCCTGGTGGCACAAGGGGCTAAGATGCAGCAATGTGAATCTATCCGCAGCCACTGAGGCACGAGTTCAAGCCCCCGCCAGGAAGCTAACCCACATGGCACAGCAGACCTCTCCTGTCTTGCCCACATCTCCCCCCTCAGCAGTGTATTTCAGTGGATCCGCCTGTTCTGCTCCCCACTCCATCTCTGGTGAATCCTGTCACCCCCTCCCACACTTCTGGCCTGTACCCCAGTTCTTGTGTGCATAAATAAATAAATCTTAAAAAAATCATTTTATCAATTTAATTGTTACTGACATAGTTTATAAAAAAAGAAGAAAAGTTTTCAAAATGTCAAGTGTTTTATTATGCCTAGAATATGCAGAGGGAATACACAATTTTTTTTTTCTTTTGTGGGACCCTCGCCAGCGGCCAGGGACCGGCGCTGCAGAGGCTGCGGGCAGCTTCGCAGCCCAGCGCTCAACCGCTGCACCACCAGGGGAGGCCCAATACACAAATATTTTTGTTCCAAAAGTTTATTTCTGCAAGGCAAGTTGCCTCAAAGCTATATAACTTGTAGTGTGGCTCAAGTTACAACTTGTACTCTAAAGTTCCGAGTTTGGAGTCCTAACTGTATAGAAAAGATATTCTAATGTCAGAAGAAACATCCTCAGCAATCAAAACCAAATGAAAAGTTCAAACTGTTCCAAAATGAAAAGAATTTTCAGGTTAATTTACATCTCAGGCTGCCATTTGATATTTGGTCTAGCCTGTGGTAATATTATGACAACTATGATCTTCTATTTTATCATTTTAGAGCCCCCCAAAACTCCATTATATAAACTTCAAAAAGATGCATTTAATTATATGCATTTTTAGTATTAAAATATAGTTTCCTAATGTGAGCTCTGATTCTACAGGAAGGCCTGGTATGAAGCTTGGCTCTGCCACCAATAAACCTTGTGAATCCACATGAGTTCCTCTGATTTCCTAAATGCATCTGAAATGGATTAATTCTTTGATTACAAAAACAAAAATCAAACTACTACTACCATAAAACCAAGCCTTTAATGAAGTTAATTATTTTAATTTGTGAAGTTAACTGTAGAACAAATAAAATTCCCTAAATCTTCATGACTCATCAAAATACAAAGAACTAATACGTGGAACCATCTCTCTTAGCCAACTCTCTGGAATTGTGTTGGTTGATGAATGTATATGAATCAATTTTGGGGTGAAAGCTGCAGAGTGCACACAGGGCTAAGGAAAATGGTAATAAGAAGGAAAGTCATGTCTATAAATGAAGGGAAAAACAATTTATCTTCAGTGACTGTTTCACATTTTAATGCAAATAGATAAATAATTTATTAGGAATGTCACAAGAGCATTTTAAGTTTAATGGGATTTTAAAAATGAGAAGGATTTGTAAACATAGTTCAATAATGTAAAATAAAAAATGATTAGTTGCAATGTCTAAATCATAAATTTCAAAGTAGAATTTTGAAAGTACTTATAAAATATGTCCACACCCACTCACAGACACAAAATAATACAGTTCCTCATAAATGCTATACCTTTGCAGAAGAAACAAAGAAAAATAATAATCTAAAATACTTTATAATTAGATTCCAGAATGACTTTAAAAAATGAACAAATGTTAAGCCAACAATAAGACATTTTCATACTCTTTTTTATTACAGGTGATAAACTGATTAATGCTCCCTAGTCACTATTACTGTAGGCAATTATAATTTGTATGAACTGTTTACACATTGTACAATAATGGTTTCACAAGTTATTATTTCCTTGTAAGGAAGTGACAACTTTGTATGTATTATTCAATATTTGCTCGGTATGTTCTGGTGTACTGCTTTATCTGTTAAGGAGAATCATATGAAGACAATACTAACACTTCATTCATAGTATTAGCTATTATAATTGAAAATACATCTTCCTCAAAGATATGAATGCAATTCATTTGCACAAATTATGATTTTCTTGGGTCAATTTATGTTTAATACTTTTTGATTATCTTAAAAATGGTAAAACATTATCTGTAGACTCATGCACATCTACAGTATTAATTTTTATAGAGATACTAGAAAGGCATGAGTAGGTATATTAATTATTATTGACCATTTATTTCATTTATTAAATTTTCTTTTATCTGATATGTTATTTAGCATGGCTGGAGATATTAATTAAACCATTACAATTTCTTACTTTGCTTCCTTTCATTATCTTCTTGTGCCTGATATGTATCACCTTACCTAATTTGCTTCCCTTCTTGGCAAATAATTCAATTTGAATGTTCTCTTCCAAGATATCTTTATAAATCAAATTAAAAAAAAACACTCATCCAGTAATTCCTAAAAGTGGGTAGGTTCTTAGAAACAGACTAAACGACACAAATTATGATGTAACAATTTTTACCACAAACCAATTAATATAAACAAGAGTTAAGCTCCAGTGGCATATTTCTGTTTATGAAAATGTCATCAAATTTCTAAATATCTGAAACACTTTTCATGTGAAATGATAATATGTATTCATGCATTCATTTTCTAATCCAATAATTGGGGTTAGCAGCTCAGGATATAAGTTGGAACCAAGCTTGACAGGACACACTTTCATTGCAGGGTACACTCTCCCACAAGCCCACGCTCACTCAGATTGGGACAATTAAGGCAAGCCAGTGACTCTAACATGTATGTCTCTGGAATTGGGGAGAAAACCCACATAGACATAAGGGTACCATGCAAATTCCACATAGCTATTGACCCCAGCTAGGAATTCCATTTTTTTCCTTCTTCTCCCGAATGTTATAATGAAATAACATTGAATAAAGAAGTTCTTGAGGACCTGCTATATTTCTTTCCTTCCAATATTCCTCAAAATAATAGCAATACTTGACTCTGTTCCACACAGAACAGCTATAGTTATGACCTTATCTCTTTCCACATCCTATTACTTTTTCTTCAAAACTATCTAATCTTTCAATCAGTTTCAGAATACAGGTGTGAGATGGTGAGGAAGATGTCAGGTAGATATCAACAGAGTCCCAGGTATAAAAAAGTCAAACTGGAGTGATCATGGCCAGTGCTGGCTTCAGTGAAGTAGTTCTTAGAAGGAATACAGGTTCAGTTGTCCAATTTTCTAAGAGTATATTAAAAGCTATACTTTTGTAAGAAAATGTCTAATTTTTCATAGTGGTTTTAAGGTTTTTAAAGTTGTTTTTCTCTACAGACGAAGTAAATCTTACTGACTGACTAAGAAAACAATCTAAAACTCTGTCATCAGACTCTACTCATATCCTCATTCTTGTACTCCACCAACAAATAAACAAAGTTCCCCCTAAAACAAAAGCAACCTTTTGACATGGCCATGGTTTGATTCCTGTTTTCCTTTCCAATCACTGTCAAAACTTCAAAAAGAGACAAAAAAGATAATAATTCCTGCATTTCCCTGATACCCTATCTTTAATTTCCAGACATTTTCTCAAGTATATTTCAACACATCACGAATGCCTTGGCTGCAATGCATTCTATGAATTGCTACCCATACTCTAAAAGATGAGTGTAGCAGGTTTTTCTTTTTTCAAGTTGTTTATATCTACGTTATGTACATTACAGGTGTGATCCTAGAAGTGAGTAGGCAGAAACCCAGGAAAGCAGAGCAGCAGCTTTTCCTCTTAACCACTATCTCTTATACAATTTTTTGTGTTAATAACCAATCATTGAATAATTAGGATTTTGCCAATACTAGGGGGAAAATAGTATTTTTCTATAAGGATGGATGTTTTCTTGAATTAAAAAAAAAGTTCTGATCTCCTAAAACAATTTTTTATATATATATTTATTTATTTATGCATAGAACTGGGAACGTGTTGGCCAGGGGTGCAGGGGGGGTAGGATTCACCAGAAACAGAGTGGAGAGCAGAACAGGCAGATCCTTTGAAATACACTGCTGAGGGGAGCAGCAGGAGAAACTGGAGAGGTCTGCTGTGCCATATATGGGTTAGCTCCCACTATGGAACTCAGGCTTCAGTAGTGATAGCCTAATAGCACTGAGACTTAACACCTACACCACCAGGGAGATCCCTATAATATTCTTAATAATACCAACTAGTGCAGCAGTAAAACTATAGAAAAAAAATGATGTTTGCTTCTGCCATAATTTGGAAGGTCTAACTTTAGCTTTCTTATTAGTCATAAGGTTATAATAGAATAAAATAAGACAATGGATATATATGTATATATATAAAGCACTAAGTTTGATTTCAAGAGCATGATTAAGTTAAAATTCTAAAATATTAAAAAGAATCAGTCAGTAATCTAGAAAACTTATTTTCTGATTTTTACTTATATAGGATATAATTGTTGAGGCTTTAATTATAGGAGTTCACATAGAAATACCCATCTATACAGTAAATCAAATTTATTTATAATTATCAGCAAAATAGGAGCTGAATAAACTCCATTTTTGTCCAGTGTGAGAAAACACAAGGTTACAAGAAGTTATAAGACTATAAGGAAATAAAGATATTTCTTAAAATATATGTCCATCTTGAGTAAGAATAAAGCATGCATGTAAAAATTCATATTCACTTGTATATGTTATTCCATTAAAAACAAAGCTCACATATAGATTCAAAACTCACATAAATCTTAAACTTCTGTCTAACGATTTCAGGTTTTATGTTTTCACATCCTTCAGTGAGCAACATTAAGTAGAGCTGGTTTCCTCTTTTATTAAAGTGTTCATACTTAAAGTATAAATGAAGCAGTCAATATACGTTTGCCAAGTCTTATGTACTTGAGAACACAGTATGAAAATTATTCCTTATAAAAGAAACTCACCTTATCTCCAGGACCAAAGAGGAATTAATTTTCCAACCTTCTACAGAGTGCTGGAAGATTGAAGAACCGGCCTTTCTAATAATTTTATCGGAACTATTGACAAGTGATCGACTCAAACACATTTCACCGTCTCTGAAACAAACAATCAAACAAAAATTTCAGCTTCATTAAAGTAAGACATATTTTGGTAAGTAGCACAATATATAATTTGATGAAGATTTTTAGTGACAAATTATAGATACAACACTTTCTATGTTAGAAGAAGAGGCAGAACATGATGAAATGTATAAAGATTGAGTGAAAATGACATATCAGGACAATCATTTTCAATTATTCTTGTAATAAGGCCACTTCATATTTAAAAAAAAAAGGCACTCTGGTATTTAAAGACAAAACACTTCTCATCTAAGGTCTGCACCCCTTGGGCCTGTCCCACCCCACTGTGCTTAGACAATAGAGACAGGATGTTTGGTCAATTCCCCTGCTTCTCTATTGTTACTTCAAAACTCTAACTTCATTTTCACAGAGGATGCATAGATACAATGGAATGAGTTTTTGTTTTGGTGTAAGAAAACCTCAGACTATCAGGTGATCTGCTCATGTTCAGGATTCCATAACTTACCAGCCTATATGTCCTTGGAAATATTCTCTTTCTAAGCCAGTGGATTTACTTTTCCTTGAAAACTGCAACATTATCTAATATGCAATGACCTTGTGAGGATTAAGTAGAGCTCTATACATGAAAGCAACTTATAAAGCACTATTAAAGTACTAATTTAGGTCTCAAAATACCTCCACAAAGTGACATACCAAGTGACATTCTCCTGACAGTAGTGGAGAAGAGAAAGAGATTGCAGTATGCAGACAGCTCATTCAGTAGCCATTATTACTGTTATTTCCTATCACATTAAAAAAAAATCAACTATGCTACCTTCTCCAATCAATAATGTTAGGCAAATGTACCATGTGACATGGGAGTAGCAGTGATGCTGCTGGAAGTGATGGTGGTGGCAGATACCTATGATGCTGTTAAGGACATTCGGACATTTATAGTTGGACCAATTTATTGTTCGATAGATTATTTCTTCATACTTTATAGATGAACATTATCAATTTACATATAAGCATTCTGTGTAGATTTACATACCTACCGGGTTGAAAAGTCATCTTTTTGTGATAAAGGCATGTTCACTATATGTATTTGTTCCTTTACATGTTGCATTTTAATTTTTTAGAATCTCAAAAACATAGTTAAAAGTAACATGACTATTTTCTCAGTTACACAGGCTAAATTTGTGTTTATTATGTAGGCAATCCTCTCCTACTATCAATGGAAACATTGCCTGTGTAACAGCTGTTAGATGAATTCTGTAATTGGAGGCTTATAGTTTGTTATTTTGGATTGCATTCTTTTTTAAACATGTAGTTCTAATTTGGAGCAACTCAAAGCATCAACTAATCCTTGTGAAATTTAGAACTCTGTAAAATCAACATTTTAAACTGTCCTACTGATGAAAAGTATACACTTACATACGTATGCATGCATAATAATTATTTTATAGAGGTCATTTAGAAGGCAAGGAAACTTAAGTACAATTTACTATTCTGTAGTCCAGTCCGGGAGTCAAGTTTTGTATATTTAATGATAATGGCTATCTCTGAATGAAAATATGGAATACACAAAAGTTTATCTTATGCTTTTGGAGATATGCCTTCAAGAATATAGGCACAAATGATTACTAGGAGGAGGGTTCTTTTTGATCTTCATTTCCTTAATGTGGCCTGTCAATATTATATTTTTCTAAGAAGATTGCTATTATTATAATAATTCAACAGCACTAAACCTTTATAGAAGTAAAAATAAACAGGGGTTGGCATTTTAGCTATCTACAGAAGATTATCTTATTGAGGTGGATACAGATACAGCTTTACAAGCAGAATGAAGGCTGTATTTGCACTTAATTGTAAGAGTCTTTTCAGAACTTCCTAAGGTTTTTTAAAAAATATTTAAAATGTTTACATGAGATTTATATTAATGAAATGATACCACTGTTCATTTGATTACTGTTCAATGATTACTCTGTTCTTTGTTTTCAGTGATGGTGATAAGCCAACTTTCAGACTTTTATTTCTAGGAAGAACTTTGAATGAAAGTAGGTCCGACTAGTAACATTTCACCTTGAAGCAAATGAATTCATGTGAGAGAAGGCTAAGCTTAGTGCAATATGATGATCTGGGACAAATTTCTTTGTATAAAGTTAAATGAAACTCATGGTATTTTTCACTGGTGACCTTGATAGTATTCTGTCCTAGAAAAGTTTTGTCCCTCCCGTGAATGCAAGGCATGAAGGATATTGCCACCCCCTACTACTTTCTCATTCCAGATTGGACACGATTGCTAAACAGCTGCACTGAAAACATTTCTTGCAATGGGATATACAGGAAGATTCAATAAGTGCTCCTAAAGGGAAAATTACAATGAGCGCATCAAGGAAATAATTCAGCAAAAAGCAGTAAGTATTATAAAACATTCCTGCTTATATGAAAATAAGAAAAAACCCATTTAGATAGTCATTTACACAATACTAGTTACAAACTCTTAGTTAGATTACTTGTATTTACAAATATTATTTTTGAAATATGAGTAGCCAGGTAAGAATAAAATGTATTCTATTGGTTCTATAGAATATAACAAACATGATTAATTTCATTTCATGAAATTATGTCCCCAAAGCCTTAGTTCAACCCCAATGAAAAAGGGAATTATGACTTGACTTTAGAATGAATGTGTTCCCTTTGGACTAGTTTAAATTTCCTTTTCAATATAAACTTATAAAGGTAATCTGCAAGAAAAGAACTTTAATATTAAATTAAATCTGAACACAAATAACAGGAATTTTTGTCTTTTCATTACCCAGGTATCAAACATCTAAAAATTCAGAAGGTATTTATGGCTTTTAGTAGAATTACAAATGTATCATGAAGTAAAGTGCAGATTCGGGGTTTCCTAATTTAGATGAGTGTATTTTGCCCTAGAACACACAGGAATTAACTTTGCTTACAATGGTGATACTTTTATATTTGCATGTTTATCTCCACTGTCAACTCTTTGATACTTTTCATTACTAATGCTGTTGATTATTTAGTGAAACAATTTAAAACACATAGTCAAATTAGAAGGGAGATCTCTAGCTGATAAGAAAAGTTAAAATCTCAGTTACAATCAGATTTTAAGGAAAGATGACCAAAACAAATAACATATTACAATCCATGCCACACGTTTAAATGCTATTTCATTAAATGAGCATATCCACAGCTTGTTTTGTTTGTTTTTGTGTATGAGAGACCCTTCAGTTAACACATTTTCAATTAAATCCAAATAACACACAGATCCAGTGAAACCATGGGTCATTTGTGAGGGTTATTTTTCCCATTGAGAAAACAGTATCAGTCAAGAACAGAACACTTAATATCCCCAGTGCCCTTTGAGTTAAACTTTACTAACCAGTCATTATACCTCTAGGCAATTAATGGTCTTGCATAGAAGGAAATAAGTTTTAAAAGCTCAATAAATGCTTGACCTACTCCTGAAAAATCTCTTATAAAAAAATGAGCTGCTACAATTCCTCTGGAGATAAGAGAATGTGGCTGGTTGGTAGGAAAGTTGTGCTGGCATTCTTTCTCCTATATGGAATGACTGTCCAACATTATACGTACAGGTGAAACCACCAGTTAAGAGAAGATTAGGACAGTTCAACAGACATAGAAATTGCTTGCCTATTCCAAAATGGTAGCATTTCCCCTAAATATGAATGTAGGGGAATTGTTCTAAAATCCAAGGACTATGGAAAACACTTAATTGAATCTCTTGTCCTAAAGCACACAGTGCCCCCCAAAGGTCAGAGATTACCTCTTTTGCCACACTTTTGAATACTGGGTTCGGGGGCCAAACCTCCACAGGGGAGCCCTAATCTCAAAACTAGCTCTCCACGTGGCTGGGTAGAAAGAGAGTCAATGACATAATTAGATCCTTTGATGAGTCAACTTCTCCACCAGAAGCACTATTTGTGAGTTGAAACCATGAGCTATGATCACAGGCTTTATCTATTGAACGTTTCATCCAGAGTGAAAGAAAAAGAGCGCTCAGGGGGGAGTAACTGTCCTTCTCACATTGCCCCTGGCAGTTTCAACTCCAAATTTCCAGCGGCAGTCGCTGCAGCCAGGACGCTGCTGGGCACCGCTGGTAGCACAACGCCGGCAGCGGGCTCTCTGTTTCGCCCCGCAGGACTGTAATTGCGGGTTTTAATTAAGGAGGAGGAGCCCGGTTGTCAGCTGAGCAGTAAAAACGATTTTTTTTTTTTTTTTAAAGGGCCGGAATGCTGCCATAAGGCTTCCCGATCTCCTCGCTCCTCCTACCCTCGCTCCAGCCCGGGGAGGAAGAGTAGACTGGGTGCGCACTCGCTTGCTCTTTAATTGCAGCGCCCGCCCCACGCTTTTTCAGGGGTTATAGGTGGAAACCGCAGCCCAGGCCGAAATGCACAGTAAACCCAGCCCGACCTGGCCCAGCTGCCTTCAGCCTGTCCCTCAGAGGCCACCAGCCCGCGGCGTCCTGGGCAGAGCCACAGGAGGATGCCGCCCCTGAACCGTGGAGAATACCGGGTCGTTATAATCCCCCCGCCCTGGAGGTAGTGGGGTGCTCTCCGCTTTCCAGCCAGCGATTTAGGGAGGCCAGGAGAGCGAGCCTTGGCACCTCCTCTCACGCGCCCCGCCCACTCCTGCTCTCCAGGGTCCGGAGCTCAGGGCCGCAACCCTCGGAGTCCTGGGGAGGCTGGTCGCTTTGTCTGGACTGGGGCTCGTCTTCTGAGCCCACCAGACCGCAAAGGAACAAAGAAGCTCGACCTCCACGCCCCAGCCTGCCTTTCTCCCCCAAGCGCCGGTTCATCACCTTCCTAAAGACCCCTTTGTCTGCGGGCGAAGCTCAGGTCGGTCAGGGAGACTCACACCCCCACCCGAAGTCCTTTTCTGTCAATTGATCTCGGCTGCATTTTCAACCCACCCATTCCTTGTGTAAACGACCCAATATAGTTCGGCGTTTTCCCCACCAGGATAGACCCTTTTCTGGATTTGTTGATGCATTTCCACCATCCAGCCCATCCATTCCTCGCAAGCTTTTTCTTTCTCTAACAGTTCCTTTCTACTGTAATTCGGTTTGTCGTAGTTTTCTATAAAATAATGATTCCTTCCGTAAGGATAAGGCTGTGTCTTGTTCACGTGCATGCTCATTACTTAAAGAGGAGCAGGAATATTTACAAATTAAGTTTGTGTGTGTGTGTGTATGTGTGTGTGAGAGCAGGCGTATTTTAGCACTCTTATGTCACACACACACACACACACACACACACACACGGTTTCTATTTTTTTTTTTTTTTAACAGAAAAAAGATCCCAGAGAAAATTAAAAAAAAAAACCTGGCAGGCATCTCTGCCAGTGTGGAGTTTCCGATCGCAGACGCCTCCGGATGAGGGAGGATTTCCGAAACAGGACTTTGAACAGAGTTGACAACCAGCAACCAGGTTCACATCCTCAGAAAACGCTTCCAAGCTATGTAAGCAACACAAAGTTTCAGCCATCTCCTGGTTCAACTTCAAAGACCAAAGACAGTGGGGGCTGGGGGAGAAGGAGGAAGGAAGTGTGATATTTAGAGAACTTACTGGGGTGGTGGGAAGGGGTGTAGATGCTGAACTCATCTTGATAAACTAAAGAAATAACAAATATAGTCGTTGTGAAAGTACAGTAGCCGAGTTCTAAACCTGTAACCATGACGCCCGTGTGTTTTACCCATGAAAGAGCAAATAAGTTCCTAATTCAAACGAACCAACACCAGATCTAAGCAACGCCAGAGGAAAAAAAAAAACTAGAAGAGACACATTTTCTGCTTTCTCAGATTTAACTTTAGCTTTTCAGAGAGTCAGTTTTCTCTAATATCCCCCTAGAGTGGCAGGGCAGAGAGAAAGAAAGGCAACCAGATGGTAAATAAAGACATCCCGCTTTAGTTCTGGCCACGGATTAGAAAAGACAAGACGCACGTTCTTTGTTGACACTTCTGCAGTGACTTCTCCTTCAGCAGGAGAGCAGCAGCCAACACAAATGCCGCTACCATCACGCCGGGCAAGTTGAACTCCTACCGGGAACGGCATAAAGGGGAGTGTACACACCTCAACAACAGCCTTTGTTATTTAATTCACGAGACTCAACACACACACACACTCTCACACGAACACACACATACGCTCACCCCTCACTCGAGCTTCTATATTCACATTTCACTTATGGCTTGACTTTTTGTCATATCCTGAAATGAAGCTTTCGATTTACCCGATGAGTTGCGTCTCCTGGTGCTCCTCAGTTCTTGCTATTTCTTTTGTCTTATAAAAGATCAGTAGCAGACTTATGGTGCAGATGGTCCACCTCTTCCTAATGGAGCGCATCTTGGGTGCCCGGGAAAGTCCTGGTTGCCCCAGCCCCCTCACCTTCTCTTGATATAAAGGCTCCGTTTTGGGGAGACAGAGTTGCTGGGGGGGAAGCAGTGAAAGGCAAGGAAAACGTGAAGCCAAGATCTCAGGAACAGGTCGTGAGAATCCTCGGTGGCAGAGCACCCCCTGATCGCGGAGCGCTGCCCGGAGCTCTTCCCGCTAGCCCTGCCGGGGTCGCTCAGCCTCCCTGGGGCTCATGTTTCTTTTCAGACGAGACACCTTGTGCTTTGGAGGTGGCGGCCGCTTCTGCAGCTGGATTCGGGGGCGTTACTGGCCCTTCCCTTTTGCTAGCAGGGAAATGATGAGCAAAACCAGCCAATCACTGGACTCAGGGGCGGAGGCTGCTGTTGCCTGGCGTTGCTAACTGCTGCTTTGAGAGTAACGTCGCCTGCGCTCCTTTCAGTGTGCCGGGAGAGGAAGCTCACAATTTTACAATCGCACACGCGCACACGCACACACACACACTCGCACACACGCACCAGCGCTTGCACATACTGGGCTGAGCGCAATGCGCTAAGAGGGAGTCAGGTCACCCTCCCGGGACGCGAAAGCATCAGCTCTCTGGACCTGGGAGCGGGGAGATACCCTGTCTACATTAGCGTGGAGAGGGCACCTCCTCTGGAGACAGATTAGAGCCCCGTCCGGCTCGGGAGAGGCTTTGAATACATGTAGAAGTGGGTTGCAATAGGTGTAGCCTCTTACAAGTGCCTTTTGCTAAACACGCTCCCAGGCGGGCACCCGCACACACAACCCTACTCAAGCAGAGTGAATGGAGAAGAGAGGAGACAGGAGGAAGAGGTTTTATATTCCGGGCACAACTCAGTCTGGAAAGTAACAATTACACACATGAACCGATTAGTCGATTGCCCACTCAGGTCGGGTGACCCAGACTCGGGTTCCTGCTGGGAAAGAGATGAGCGAGGTGTCATTAGGAACTTGACGGATATTTGTGTGACGCTTTTTCGTTGCTATTTGAAAACTCCTCACGCAGAAGTCAAGGAAACTCCAATTCCACTTAAACTTCACTGCGGAGAATTCTGAGAAAAAGCAGCCACTGGGAACCACCCCTCAGCCCCTTTCAAACGCAAGTATATACACACGCAAACACAACGGAATACGAAGGTGCGGTGGGCAGTGAGGGAGAGGTGGGAGGCCAGTAGAGAAAGCTCTCCTCCCAAAGCCTCAATCATAAGTATTTAGCCTTTGATTCTCCTCCCTCCTACTATCGAAATTTTTCTTATTTCTATGCTATTGTGTGGCAGAAGCACTTTCAAGTCCTGGTTTTGTGTTCAGTCTGAGTATTTCTCCACAGTCCCTTGGTCCTCACCTCAGCATGAGAGACGCTTACCGTACCAGTAACTTTATGCCACTGATGCTGGCAAATATAGTTAACAAGGCACCGGCAGTGTGAGGTGGTGCCTGGTGGCAAAATTTCTCCATCTACATAAGTGGCTCCCAAATTCTTAATCCTTCCCCACCCTCTCAATTGAATTCCTTTTTGCTTCTCCTTAAGTGGTGGCTCCAGGTCTTGACCAGTGTTTGCATCTTCCCAAGCCTGCAAATGGTGAGGCCCAAGCCAACCCCTCAGCCTGAGGGGTTCCAAGTTCCTGACTTTTTAAAATAACAAGGATAATAGCTAGGACCTTTACTTGAAAAATCTGAAATTCCTGCTGGTGTTTGCCATTCTTAGCCTAAGGTTTGGGAATTTAAGAACCTGTCAATTTCAGAGCTTCATATTCACTGCAAAGAGAACTAGGGGATTGTGTCTAAAATGCTCAAAGGAGCAAGTAATTATGAGTCTTTATTGACACTACAAGTGGCCCTCTAGGGTCCTTTCAAGTTTATTGATGTCTAGGCAAACCCTGCTTGCATTAATGCATCTCTATCACACTGACTTCTCAACTAACAGAAACTGTGAGAATAAAGCAGTTTTTTAACTTTTCTTGAAAGGAAACTGACTGGGACAGAGAAGGGATGGGAATGCCTGGTTAGGATGCTGAACTGTCTGGGTTGGCCTTTGATTTTTAAGAGTAAACAAATATATTTTAGATTTTAAATAAAACACTGCTCACTAAGAGCTACAGACTATCATGTATCACTTAATTAAATACATGTGACATTTCTTGAGCAATTACTATGAGTCAGACAGTGTATGAGATCATGGATGTACAAAGAAGAATAAAGTATATTTAATCAGACAGAAAAACTCAACTCACTGTGTGGGGGGTGGGAAGGAGAGGGTAGATAGTTTGTTAAATGAGTTGCTTGGGTCTCCCTGGTGAGACAGGGGTTAAAGTCTCAGAGACATCAAGCTATCACCAGCCACTGTGCCTAAGTTCTGTCTGATCCCCAGCCTGGGCAATAACCCACATGGTTTAGCAGCCCTCTCCTGTCTTGCCCACTGATTCTCTGAGCAGTATATTTCAGTGGATCTGCCTGTTCTGCTCCCCCCTCTGTCTCTGATGAATCCTTTCCCCTCTCACTGCCTCCCCCCACACCTCTGGCCTATACCCCAGTTCTTGTATGCATAAAAAAAATAAATCTCATGAAAGATATGAGTTGCAATATAATCCCACTAACTAACAGCAGTGTCTTAAGTATGTAGGTTGCTCCTGTTTGTAGAAGCAACACAGTGTTGTTTTAGTATTAGAAGCAAGGAATGTGAACTTCCTGGGTGTGGGTATTTAGGAACCAGAGTAAGCTTGGAAAGGAGTAAGCCAGGAAAAAAGGAAGATAGAATTTTGCAAGCAGAAGAAAGAATATATAGGAATTTCAAAAAAGAATAAAATGTTGGTCCTTTGGGAAATCTTTGAAGTACTTCAGTACTGTTAGGACAGGAAGTGGGAAGAGAAAGTGGGATGGAATTTTCAGAGTAATTATAATATAGCCTTGCAAGGTCAAAATGTCTTCTCTAATGGGAAAGCTCCTCTTCCTGAGGAAAACTGGTTAAATTTAGGTTAAATTAGGGAAAACTTTTCATCTGGCCCAAACAAACAAACAAAAAAAAAGATAAAGCAATTCCATCAACAGCAAAACTAAGGCACAATAATAACTATTTATGAAACACAAGGCAAATTTAAATGCCTAGAAAAGAAAAAGTGACCTTTTCAATTGTATAATGCTGCTGTTTCTGGATTGTTAAGCACAGCATCTTTTATAGTGGCATGAACACTTTTGAGTGACTGTCATAGTTCAGTGAATAATACAGTGTTTGAGTATATCTTAGTGTCATTTGTTTAGTTTTATTTGATTCATATAATATGCATCCCTAACAATTTTCAATTAAAAAAAAAGATAAGCTGACATGTCAGCCAAATTGTGGACATCCTAGTTCTTCCAATATGCAATAGATACAAGAACCAAAATACTTGATAAGAAGTTTTGTCTATACTAAAGTGTTTTGCACTCTTCCTGCCTTTAGAATGTCTGTTTTAATGATGCAGAGAAGTTGAAGTTGTTTCTAAATTCCCATTCTATCTTTGGACTATATGTTCTTCAATAAAGAGAAAGCATTTGTCTTTATTCAGCAAAAATTGCAATTACACAGTACCCTATGAATAAATAATGCAAGTAATGGCAACTGTTTTTAAAATGCTCCCTCATCCTTTATTTAATGCAAATCAAGTTTTAATTGCTGACTCTTCCCTCAGCTTTAGTTATTAAACAATGGGTAGGCACTTGCAGTCTCATAGTGATACAGTTAACAAGTTTGTCTTTCCCGCATTTTTTGCCATTCCCCTTATCTAGCATTAACAGGATTGATGACTTGTCTTTCCCATTTGTTGCAGCTTCCCCTCCCCTTGGGAAGAAAAAAAAAAAAGCTGGCGCCCACCGGTTTCCCTGTAGACCCTTCCCCCTCGCCCTAAGGAAAACAAGTTGGCCATCACCCATCTCTGTGCCTTGACACCTTCCCCTTCCCTTAAGATGAATGAGCTGACACCCATCCATCTCCCTGTTGAGCTGGCGCCCACTTGTCTCTGTGCGGACCCCTTCCCCCTCCCCTTCGCGGATGCCTACCCATCTCCCCCTGTATAAATACCCCTGCCCACTGCCAAAGAGGAGGAGGGTGGTTTTTCGGACATGAGTCTGCCTCCCTCCTCATTTGTCGACAAATAAAACCGCTTTCCTTTTCCTCAAACTTAGTTTCCTTTTATTGGCTGAGGGAAACTGAGGCCGGCGTTCGGTAACAATAGTAGGGTTTTTAATGAGTCATGGCATGTTATTTTTTTAAAGCATTTTCAGATTCAGAGCAATATTGAGTAGAAAGTATAGAGATTTACCATTATAATCTCTGCCTTAAACATATACAGTTTCCTCCACTATTTACATCCTATGCAAGAGGATTACATTTGTTCAAATCAATAAAACTAATTGACAGATTATTGTCACCCATAGTCTATATTTACATTAGGACATTGTACATTCCATGGGCTTTGACAGATGCACAATGGCTGGATTAAGAAACAAAACCCAATCTTTTGCTGTCTTCAGGAAACACATTTAACTACAAAAGATAAAAATAGACTGAAAGTAAAAGGATGGAAAACAATCCTAAGAGCAAATGGACCAAAAAAGAAGGCAGAAACATCTATACTTACATCAGATAAAAGAGATTTCAAACTCAAAAAGGTAAAAAGAGACCCCAAAGGTCACTACATTATGATCAAGGGGACAATACTTCAAGAAGAAATAACACTCATTAACATATATTCACCAAATGAAGGAGCACCAAAATATACCAGACAACTGAAAACAGACATCAGAGAAAACATATATGTAGTAGGAGACTTCAACACACCACTATCAACAATGGATAGATCAATGAGACAAACAATAAGTAAGGACACTAAAGCTCTAAATAAGGATTTAGACCTCATGGGCTTAACTGACATCTATAGAACACTAAACCCAAAAAAATCTGAGTACACATTTTTCTCAAGTGCAAACAGATCATTCTCCAGGACACAAGACAAACATCAACAGATACACCAAGATTGAAATCATACCAACCATCTTCTCTGACCATGAAGGCATCAAACTAGAAATAAACCATAAAAAGAAGGCAAGGAACCCTCCTACCTCATGGAGATTGATACCCACACTACTGGAAGACCACTGGACTAATGAGGAGATCAAAGAAGAAATTAAAAAATACTTTGAGCTGAATGACAAGGAGGACACCAATTTCCTAAATGTATGGCACACAGCAAAAGCAATAATAACAGGAAAATATATAGCAACACAGGCTCACATCAAGAAACAAGAAA